CTCCTCAGCTGATAATACCATTATTCATCGCAGAGTAGGATCCTTGTTGACCTTGTTCAGGGAGTAGTGGCAGGGGGGACGGACGGATGGATGGAAAGCTCTTAGAATGAAAAGCAAAAGCACTGGGCAGCTCAGGATCCAGATCAGTGGTGATGCCATTCTGCTTTTCATCTGCCACATTTGTGAAACTGTTTATCATAAGCCAATAGAATTGATTTGAAAGTAATTCTGTAGCTGGATGGGTCGTGCCCTTGTTACTGATGTTTCGTTGTTGTTTTAATGGAACATGAGAACATTAGAAAGCTGCCTTTAACTTGCAAACAACTGGTAGTTAAATAACACCAAAAAAAGCCATGCTGGATCAGGCAAATGGCCCATCTATTTCTGCATCCTGTTTCCACAGTGGCCAACCAGATGCCTAAATGGGAAACTCTCAAGCAGAACCTGAGCACAAGAGCACTCTTTCCTCCTGTGGCTTCCAGCAATTAGTATTCAGAAGCATTACTGCCCCCAACTATGTACGGGGAACACGGCCATCATGACTAGTAGCCATTTAATAATAGATTAGTAGGCACTCCTGGGAATCATCATCATCATCCTGAAAAAGATGAGGATGGGGAAATAAAGGAAGCGAGCATTTGCATACAGTGGATTTTAACAGGTGGCACACATTTCCAAGCAAGTACTCCTTTGCATCATGCAGTAAATGATGGCCGATGGGTGAGAATCACCAACAATAGCCTATGAACAGCCAGAGTCAACTCAAGCACTACATCTGGAGAGCCACAGTTTCCTCATTTCTAGTATAAATTCCAAGTCAACAAGAGCATAAAAGATAATGTTATGTGGTGGATAGTGATAACATTTTCCAGTCCAGCAGTTGCTGAACAACCTTCTGGGGTCCCACATGCAAGTGTTGGATGGGGTCAGAGGCAAAAGTGCGTGGAGCAACAGGTGTGAATTTTACCTTTGCACAGCAGGTTGAATTCAATGCACATTCAGACACCCCTCGGTATACTCCACTGAGACAGGGAAGAGACCTGGGGTGTACCGTCCAAGTTCTACTAGACTATGAAATTCAATGTCCCGGTAAGGTGACTGTGCAATCATAGCAAGCATTTCAACTTGCCAGATAGAAATACCCCCTCCTCCCTCCACAGTGTTCCACAGGTTCTATTCACCCTACTTCCATTCCCCTGAACCAATTTTGGGACTGTGGAGATCACATGGGGGGAAACCTAGTTGCATAAGGCTTCTGGTGATGGCGCTCATTAACTGAATCCTGCCCTAGGTATCCAGTCTTCTCCTACAATTGCCTATGCCAGCTGTGCCTTGTGAGAGCTAATGTTCAACAATATATAGAGGACCACAAGTTCCTCATACTTACTTGAGGCAGGAAGAAACCTTAGACAGCTTTGGCACCATGGTGTGAAGTGTGTCATCACCTCATTCCATCAATTTTTCATGGGCAATCTCATAGAATGCTATGCCTGACTTGCATTTAAAAAAAACAACCCCCAAAAAACCACTATAGCATGGTATTACCCACTTAGCTTCCAACTGAGAATTGGTGATCTGGTTGCCAAATGATGTAGTACTTTGAGCACACTGGAATGGGGTGAAAATGAGCCTTCTGCAATAAACAGCAGAAGGTTATTGTGTAGATTAAAATGTGAGGATTGCTACCTGCCTGCCTGCACAGATATTCATTTCACAAGCAGATTAGGGTTCTCCCCTTCCCTTTTATCTTTGCCATTCAAAAGCTGTTCTTAATTGCTACTGATTCCATTCTGCCAATTGATACCTAATTACAGGAAGCTATTCCATGTTTGGCTGTTCAATTAGCAATTAGCTAAGTGTCTAAAAATAGGGGTGGGATGAATAATTGCCATGTAAATGTGATTGCTTGATTATTTGATGGATCTGCAAGTGGGCATGGTCTACAACAGGGATGATGAACATTTTTCAGCCTGAGGGCCACATTCCTTTTGGGCAACCTTCCAGGGGCCACATGCTAGTGCTGGGTAGGAACCGATACAAAGGTGGGTGGAGCAATACATGCAAATTTTACCTTTGCACAATAGGCTAGTTTCTATACACATTCACACAGCCTTCTGTATCCTCCACCCAGACCAAAAACATTAACAAGGTTTAAGGACATGTCCCATCCAGGCAAAAACATTTGGGGTACAAAAAAAGGGCCAGCAATGGTTGGTTGTTCCAGATGCTGAATGATATTGACGATTACTGCCTACTCTCTGTTGCAAATGGCTCTAATACTATGTCACTGTTAAATGTTGACTATGGGCTCAGAAATTTGGTTTTAATTACCAGATAATTTCCAGACAGCCCATAGCAATAGCTTGTTTTTCAGAATTCTAAGTTGCTGTGAACGCTTAAACGTTAGAAAATAAAGAATAGTAAAAAGAAAAAGGAAACAAGACTGAGTTCAATGGGTAGAATGGCAAAATTATGTATTGATCCCTTCTCACATTAATGCACACATACCACACTAACATGCAAACACACCACATGTTTCTGTACACACCACACACATGTACACATACACCACTCATATGTGCTCTAACAGGTGCATGCACAGACAGAGAATTAGGAATTAGGGCACGACTCCCTACCATGCCCTGATTCTCGGGCCACACCCAGAAGATGAAAGGGGGGGCATGCCTCATCACCACCCCATGGGACTGAAGAATCCCAGGTAGATGTGAAAGTTTGGCCTCAAAGGATGCACCTATCTCATTCGCTTAACCACAGATTCCCAGAAGTGAGCCTTGAAGCCAACCCATCACCTAAAGGTGCCTAAATGGTGTCACCACGTTAACCCAAACTATTTCTTTTCCCACACCTAAACTGCCCAAAGTGACCAAGTTAACCTATTGAAACAACACAGAAGACCATCTAGCACTCCATCCCGCTATTCAGTGTGAAGTAGGCAGAAAACCAATCTGTGATCCAAAATGTAGGGGGGATCCTACATGGCCCCCAGTGGTGACCCCGAAGCACACGGGGAGACCGGGAGGGGTGGCAGGTGGTGCTGCAAATGAAGAGGCTGGAGGGGAGGCAGACTGTTCCTTAAATAGGGACCAAATCCTACCTCCCTACTTAGGAAAGCACCAATCGGCACCAAGGGTTTTTCTGCACTGCCTCTCTTGCTCCCATGGCAACCTGCCATCTCTACACCATCTAGGCCTTTTGGCTGAATGTTCTCTTTTTTTGGAATGAAACCAGTCTCTCAAGAAATGCTTTTCAGGAACAAAACAAAAAAAAAATCCAATTTATCAAGATTGTGTGTGGGGTACATAGAAAAACCAAATAAGTCTCCACTGATAATAGAATAAAATGTTATATGTTATATCATTTATGGATGTTTGATTGATTGACAATAACAGAGCTGTGTAAAAAGATGCCGTTTTCACTCCATACAGCCACTCAATTATTAGCTTTTTAAAATTTTCCATGAATGCTTTGCATTTCTCAGGAAAATTAATCCATTAGCATCACAGTACAAAAAACTTTATTGACCCAATAAAGCAGAGTTTCTTTTCAAACAAATGATTAAAGAAAATAACATTAACATTAACATGCATCTGAGATAATTATATCCATTTATGAGACAATGGATGCTCTATCAAAGAATTAATGGAATGAAGCAGTTTGAGGGACTCTTCTTAATTTTATTTTATTTTTATCAATTGAAATATAGCACTTTCATTTACGAGTACACATTTCAAACAAATATGACAGAATGAGGCTGTTATGCTCATACACACACATCTTGCCCACCCTTAAATTCTCACTGCAGCATATAAAGATGTTTAGAGTCACTTGGAATTCTTCATGGGAAATACATTCAAAAAGTCACTATCAAGAAAGGTTTAGCAGCTTAAAAGTGTGATATAACTCCACAGGACTAAAGTTTGGCTGGAGAAAGGATCGCAAGTTTGAGAGACAGAATTTTATTTATTATATACTGGCTTTTTCACAAGCCACGAGGTATTTTACAATAAAATAAAATAAATGAAATAAATGCAAAGCAATGCAATGCAATGCAATAACAAAGCATAATAGATCACCATATTCTGTTCCGCTGTTGGAGGCTGTTTGCCCAAGAATGCCTGATGCTTGAAACCACAAGTATTCTGTGGTCTTGCTTGAAGGCTTCATGGAGGCAACTGGTTAGCCAGAATGAGAACGGAATGGATTTTGATGAACCTCTGGATTCTTTCTTCTGGTTTCAGGCCTTCTCAGAGTTCTTCTCCCCAATCATCCCCACCAATACACCAGATTCTGAGATTGCAGGACTCAGAGGTGCTGGCTTGTGAGGGCGATCGTGGGAGCCAATGTGTGCGTGACATCAGTGTCAGGAGGATCTGGGGGTAGAGCAGAAGATGGCGGCTGCACAGCTTCAATAGCCAGTGGCTCCTCCTCTGCCTTTTCCTGGCGCCGCCACTGGTGAGAGGCTGCTTTGATCCTCCTTCCCCTCCCCTGCAGGAGGAGGAGGAGAAAGAACTGGCCACTGGAGCCACACTGTGCTCAGTTGCAAGCTTTGCCTCTGTGCTTTTTGGACTTGGGGGCAGGAAGCGGCCACCACCCCAAAAATATTTGGGCATCCCAAAAGGGCTTGGGACCCAAGAGTTGGTACTCCTGGCAAGAGTATATGGTAAATATCTTTTAAATTGTTCATAAGCTAGTGTGCTACCTTGAAGAAAGGCTTTGGGGCACAAATCAGAGCTCAGTTATAGCCACTCTCTCCTAAACACCCTTTCCTCCCACACTCTTTGAAAATGCAACTGAATAAGACTCTTCTCCACATATTGTCAGTGTGCCATCTCTAGGAATCTGCCCTTTTCATACTTACTCCATGGAAGTCTTGACTGTATTGGAAATGCATGGTTTGTTTGTTTACTTCCTTGTTTCCATTGATGAATCACTCCCCATAAAATATCCCAAAGTGCTTTTGTTTTGTGTAACATTATGGGAAGTAAAATCAGTATCACCAATGCCACAGAACTCCAGCAAATTTATCCAGCTTGACTACCCTACATTCTCCTACAAATGGACCTTGAGCTTGTTTGGATGTTCTAGCAGGGGAGCGCAGCTATCGTATACCCTCTGCTTTCATTTTAAGCAGCTTTCAAGTCTATAGGTCTTTTCATTACATCTGCAATGTCTCCCTGTCAGAACCTTGGGGTGCTTCCAGATGACCTGAACATTCATTATGATTTCTTTTCAGGGAGATTAAAGGCCCATCTACATTATGCACTTAATGCAGTATCATACCACTTTAAACATTATAACTTTCTCCAAAGAATCCTGGGAGCTGTTTGTTCAGGCTGCTGAAAGTTGTTAGAAGATTTCTATTCCCCTTACAAAGCTCCAATTTCCAGAGTTTGTTGAGAAGAGGGATTGACTGTTAAACTATTCTGAAAATTGTAGTTCTGTGAGGGGAATAGGAGTCCCCTAACAGCTCTCAGCAGCCTGAACAAACTGCAACTCCCAGAATTCTTTGGGGAAGCTATGACTGTTTAAAGTGGTATGGTGATGCTTCAAATGTATAGTGCAGATGGGTAAACAACATTGGCTATTTAATGAGCATTCGTTCTAATTTGCTTGCTAGATTACAGAAGGCTACAGAAGGCTAGATTACATTCTGTCTGGCAAGCAATTGTTATCCCACACTTCCCAATATTTTTCCTCATTGCTTTCCTTATAGCAGAATGCCCAGTCTTTTCAGAAAGTGGATTTGTTGTGCAAGGCTTCTCCAGCAGCTTTAATTTTGCAGGTATGTGAGGGAATCCCACGCAAAGATCGTGACAGTCTAGAAGCTCCCCCAGAAGCCAGAGGAATGAGAATCCCTGACAGTTGGTGAAAGGACTTCAATGCCAGCCTAGATTCTTGACATTTTTTAACTTGCAAAATATGTTATACAAAGTAGTAGCAATTGCTGTATGGATTTAAATAATAATAACATAAAATAATAATAAGTCATTTTACAAAATGTACAAAGACTACAAATTTCAGCTTTTTGATGGAGAACTTTAAATGTTTAGCATGGAGCATATAAATCTCTATTTTTAATCCCATTAAGACAAAATCCTAAACTAGATACTTGCAGCCTATTGACAATGTTTTAATTTTGCACATTCCCGGGCATTTTTGAGGTTTCACAACAAATGCTAAATATATTTGTTGCATTTTACACAGACCTCACCACAGTCCATTTGGATTGTTTACTGAGTAAACGTTGGTCAAAAGGAGATGGGGGGAGGGATGCTTTAGCCTTTCATTCATGGAAATGCATCTCAGAGAACAAACATCCACTGGCACAGTTAAAAAGCCTATAAGGCACAGAAGAAAAGAAGCTTTCTAAGCAAATGCAAAATAAAATCAAAAGGTTTCCTGAGGAAGCCTTTGACTGTGGCAAAACTGCTCAATCTAGGATTTCAAAGGATGATCAAAACTATTTGCAATTACTCCTGACTTGTGCTTGTATAATTCTAGAATGAAAAAGGACTCCCCCTTCCTCCCTAAACACACACACACACTCTGCTGCATTCCTTCTTTTGAAAGGGCATAGAATGAAAGAAACAGATTTTTGTTGCCAGCATTCTGGCACAAGGGAAATGAACCCATGAAATTATGAATGGGTCTGAAATGGGAAGATTGTCCATTAAGAAGATGAAGAAAAGACAGAGCTGTCACTGCCTGGGCTTTTGGTGCAAACACCCCAACTCCCCATGTTGCAGAGATGAAAAAAAGAGAGACTCGTGTGGAGTAAGGCCCTTCTTCTTCCACCACAGATCTCTGCTTGATTTCAGGTTTGAAGCAAGATAACTTGTTGTGAGGAGGCTTAATGGATCGGGGAATAATTGCAGCACTGGTAGCCTTCATATGTTGAAAGTTATAGAATTGTATCAATTGACAGTGAGCAACTGAGTAGAATACGATATGTATGTGTTTCCCATATATCTGTACAAACAGAAATGCTACAGACTTAAAAGCAAAGCAAAGCAAAGCAAAGCAAAGCTGTTAATTCAGAGAGAGGTTTGGGATATCCTGAGAGGGTGCGGCATTTGCCTGATTCCTACCCTGGTCCTGATTTATTGCGAACTCTATAACCAGAAAAAGCCAATGGCTCAAAGAAGATGCAGTGTTGGGGGGGGGGTAAGATCCAACCAATTTTGTATAGTGGTACCTCGGGTTACATATGCTTCAGGTTACAGATTCTGCTAACCCAGAAATATTACCTCGGGTTAAGAACTTTGCTTCAGGATGAGAACAGAAATTGTGCAGCGGTGGTGCGGCAGCAGCGGCAGACCCCATTAGCTAAAGTGGTGCTTCAGGTTAAGAACAGTTTCAGGTTAAGAACAGACCTCCGGAACAAATTAAGTATGTAACCAGAGGTACCACTGTACTAGAAAGAGGTCAGGACCATGGACAGGGGCAAGAGGATGGGTCAGATATAGGTGCAAGAATTTCAGGACCTTGAGCAGCAATCCTGCTGCTGAGAGGAGATGGAACAAATTGCCTCAATGCTGGCTTCCTGCAACTGCCAGAGCTTACTATTGTGGCGTGGAGGATCAAAACTCAAGTTTCACCATCTCAGGGCTGCAACACAGCAATTAAAGGGCCTCTTCACCTCTCTGGACAGCTGCTTTACTATTTTTGTGTTACCTACCTGATTTCCTTCTTTCTCCTTATTCTCCACCCCCTCAACTTCCTGACCACAGCCAATCAGAGATCATGCTGCATATATGGTATTGTCACAAAATGCCAAAGCTGATATTCTGACAGCATAAGTGAGGGCAAATAAAATCAACTCTGGATGGGTTCTGAAGGTGGAAGGGACACAATCACTGCATCCTCCTAGATCAGAGGGACAAAAATTAGAAGTACTGCTTCAGATCAGCCCCAAATTTCTGAAAGTGAGGGCATCTTTTCATCTGAGGATTTGTTTTGGTTGGGCCCTAAAAGATAATCCCTTTTTTGTGCATGTGTGAAGCTACAATGAACTCCCCAAAATAATATCCACTGAAAGTCTGTTTTTTAAAAAACCATGTTTCTAAAAAGGAATAAATAGGAGCTTCTCTAAAGAAGACTGTAAACTAAAATTGGGATCTATGATTTCTAGGAATGAAGATAAGAATCAGGAACTGAGGAAGGCATGTGCAAAATGAGGACTGGTTTTTGTGAAGCCACAAACCCAAGCTTATTCCTCTCTGCTAGCCACAGCACCATGTGCCGCAGGCAGCAAAAACATTTCATAATCATTTTCAAAGGCAATTTCATGTAAAGACAACTGCAATTAATCTTAGTCATCTCAAATGGCACCACCGGCTTATGTGGAAGACTTCAGCTTTCAAGGTCAAGCAGCATATTATGGATCGGTGTCATTTCCCAAGACGCAGAGGGTTCATTAGCAGGATCAGAAAGTGGGCAACAATGCACTGTTCATCTATGGAAAGAGGGTGTCCAGATGAAATCCTGAAAAGTGAATCATAAGCAAGGATTACGTTAGTGGTTTGAGATTGTTTCCCCACCCTTTGATAGTTTAGCACTTGCTAATGAAAAAAATGTAAGGTGTCCTGGCTCCCGCCCAGATCATAATGACAATGGCTTTGAGATGCAAAGGTTTTGGATATTGTTAAATGACCTTTATGCTCACTTTTATGCACTTTAAATGAATGGTTAATTCTTGAATTGTTAATGTTATGTTGCAGTGACATTATAACTTTGATTACTTTGTAAGGTTATGCACTATTATTGTAGCCTGTGAACCACTTTGAGCACAGATTTGTGGGGAAAGGGTAGGTAAATACACTTGCTATAAGCCTAAGAATGCATGTGCTTTGCCATTCCACTATAGACGCTTCTATCATGAGTCATTTCTGGAGCTGCTGCCCAAATCCTTGTAATTAGAGATGAGACGAAAACTGAATCACTGGGAACTTCTGCATGCAGAGCATGTGCTCAGCCCATACTACTGAGCTGTACATGAACTAGTCATAAAAACCATTCCTCCCCATGGCAATCATGCAGAATGCATGCCTACAGAACAAGCATTATTTCCTCCTTTCTATAACAGAAGGTGTTGTGATACCCCAAAGCATACTCGTATTTTCAGCCAAAATACTTCCCTATGACTTTTGCTAAGGCAAGTTAAGTTATGCTTTTCATTCAGAAAATATCTACACACACACACACACACACACACACACACACAAAAAAAACCTGGCTAATTCACCTGGTTTATTGGCTTGGATGATTATTCATTTAGAAATTAAATATATCTGACTGCTTTCCCTAATCAGAAAAACAATCAGATCAATAATCAATATAGATGTAGGCAGCAATCATAAAGCAAGATTGCTGGGATGAGCAGTTGTTTTGTTGTTGTTGTTCTTGTTAAAAATTGTATACCACCCTATACTCACAGGTCTCAGGTGAATTCACAACATAAAATCACAATATAAAAGCACCATATATATATTGAAAATAAAAACAAGAACAACCCAATAATTCCCCCCTCCCCAACACATTCTAAAAGGGCATTGGATGTCATCAGACAAAGGCCTGGTTAAAGAGGAACATTTTTGCCTGGCACCTAAATATATATAATGAAGGCACCAGCTGAACCTCCCTGGGGGAGAGCATTCTACAAATGGAGCCACTGCAGAAAAGGCCCGTTCTCGTGTTGCCACCCTCCAAACCTCTCATGGAGGAGGCATACGAAGAACGGCCTCTGAAGATGATCTCAGGGTCTGGGTAGGCTCATATGGAGAGAGGCAGTCCTTGTGGTATTGTAGCCATGTGCATTCAGACCAGAATCTGTGTAATATGCTTAGGATGCAGAGGATCTCTAGCTCAGCCAGCTGATTCCCAGCCCAGCCAGGCTCAGCTGGTTCCCCAAACCTGTCTCAGCTGAAGATAAATCAGCATAACTTGCTCATTCTCATTCAGCCTGCTCATTTGAAGCTGGCTCAGCTGAGGCTGGTATGAATCCCCAAAAAGGGCATGACTAGTGCTGCCATACGTCCAGATTTCCCCAGACATTACTGGGATTTCAAAGGAAGAATTGACATCCGGGGAGGGGGGCGGTTTCCAAAAGGCGGCACTTTGTCCTGAATCTTAGGCAAGGCAAGCTCAACAATTTTGGAGTGTCCTGGTTTTTACTTTTTGAAATATGGCAGCCCTAGGCATGACTAAAGAGGGAGGGATTTAGACGGGACTCTATATCTCTTCAGCTCAGTCACATGACCTGGCAACCTGGTGTAAAACTATTTTTAAGATTTGTTTTCACTCTGCCAGGCTTAGGCAGAACAGCAGCAACCCCACTGTTGAAGGGAGGCTGGATCTGGTTTGACTTTATGCCAGCTTAATTTGCAGCAGCTTGCTTTATACCAGTTTATTGGGCATAGGATTCCTCCCTTAACAACTCATTTTCAAAAGTATTACATTTC